GCCAGAGCCAAGTCCATAATTAGCAGGCTTTAAATCCTAGACAGCAAATGCTCCCTCTGACATGGTGCTCTGGACTGTATTTTAAGTCTCTTTTTTTTCTCCCGGAACTGATTGGCAAGCGTATTTTCCTGATGACTTTCAATAGACGTTCTCCGTAGGAGGGCCGTTTGCCTTTCACTGCTCTCTTCTGCACAACTCAAAGATCAGCTGCATTGAAACTTTAATTGCTTCATTTGTTGCCATTATATTTCTATCTCTCTTAGGGCAAAAAAAAAAAAAAGATAGGAAGAGATTCTTGTTTTGTCAGGGGTCGACAGGCTGTCATGCCTTACTGCAATTTGTTATGTGGTTAGCGCAGACCTTTGAGAGAAACATCTGTGAGTTTTGTGGATAAACCACTGACAGGATGCGAGAGAGCTGGTAATGGAGTTCTGCTTTCACAGCGATGTAATTTACAAGAGAATCGCTCCACGGGAGACCCCCCTAAAGGACTGAGGCTAAAAAAGATGACGGCATTCAACGTATGTACAGTACGTGTCCCTCCTGTCATAAAAAGGGAATTGGAATAAACCAATTTTTTTTTGTATGTTGCCCATTGAAGAGGTGAACACAATTTGAATCTCGCTAAAGTGCCTCCTATTGATCGGCAGGATGCAGATAAATCCATGCTTCTGTAGAAAAGCAGATTCTCATGAAATGAACTGAGGAATTCTGGGTAGGCTGTTTGCGCCGTGGCAGGTGTGGTGTCCTCTGCATTTGCTCGCTGTATATGTGGATAATAGTAAGACTCACCCTTGTTGCTATGGTGATAACATTGACTTTTGGTGATGAAAAGCCCTTTCAAGATGTGGACTTGTGTGTGTGTTCACAGGGCTTGGTAATTATGGGCTAAATTTGAGCCACTTGAGATACCGTAGTCGATCCAGAGCTTTACTTTCCAATTTATTTTGTACTTTTTCAATTTAATTTCTTCATTCTCCCTTTAGTGTGTGTGTGTGTGTGTGTGGTGGGGGTCGTATATGTGGGTCAAATAGCTCTTATAATGCGAGAAGCTGATACACAAACACTCATCTTCTCACATGTGCCGCAGGAGATGTGAAGCATCCCCAGACTTCAGTCAGCGATCTGTCAATCTCATCAGATCACACTTTAAGGGTGACAGCTTTGGCAGAGATCTTGGAAAGCAGCGGTCCAATCTTTAAATATTGATTCAGGGCCCAAAGCTGTGTTGTCCCTCGGAGTACTGATAGAGCAGGAAAAGCAGATAATTAGTGATTTTAATTGGATGATCCGTCAAGCTCCGAGTGCAAGATGTAAATGTGTGAATCTTTCCCACAATCTCTCCCTGTCACTGAGGGCTACGAGTGTGTTGCGAGGTCTCAACCCTTGGGCTGATTTACCAATAGGGAAGCTGACAAAATGTGTCAACAAGCATCTGTGTGCTGGATTCTTATGCTATTTTTTTATTGTCGGGTTGGAACCTGTGATGCAACAAGTAATTGGGGAACAATTAATCAACAATAGCAGGTAGAGTGCTCAGCATAATTCATTTTGAAAATGAAAAATTTTATCCATTTCTCAGTGAAGGCAATGTATTTTGGTGCATTTTTCAAACAAAACAGATTTATTGAACATATTTATTTATTAAAATAATATTTAACTCACCAAACATATTTAAAATTGAAAGAAAAATACAGTTAAATTCAAGAAAAATATCTTACAACCTACAAAATTTCAACGGAATTTTTCAATTATTTCCTTCCTTTTTTTTTTTGTTGTCTTTTTTAAAATTGATATTTCATATTTTTTATAACATATATATTTTGGTGTACTAGTTTTTGAATCGTTATATTGAGTTATTTTGTAAGATAAGCTCAGATTTGACTTCAGTACTGACTAATTTAATATATATATACAAATATAATATTGTATAGCTTTAAAAAACATGAATTTCAGTGCCTTCCACAGGTTTGAAATATACTTGCCGTGGTATCCGGATTGAAATACAAACGTTACCCACATAACATAAACTAATTATGCGACAAACAAAACATAATTAAATCTTTTAACAATATTTTTATTTATTAAGAGACTTTTCAATAGGTTAAAGTTAAAAAAAATAATAATTCAGGAGCATTTTGTACAGTATTTAAAAAACATTTAGATGTATAAAATATGCAATGCATTACCATCATCAAATTAATGAAATATACAGCAAATGAGAACTAAATTACAGAAAATATAGAATAAAAACAGACAATATGTCAAATAAATTATAATAATTACAAGGCTAAAACATGTAGATTATTTCAATAAGACAAATGAGTTGATTGACCATTTCTAATGGTGTACAAATATTTTGCAGCCAATTTACATCTAGTTTCTCTGGCGGTTTTATAAAGTTTTTCGGAGACGTTCAGATTAAAGAATAAATTATTTAATGTCTCTTTTGCTCTCGTGGCTGTGCGCATACATTTGACGACAGCTTTAGAAAGCGTAACCAAATGCAAATCCTGTTCATTTCAGGAGATTTTAGGACCCTGGCTGAATGCATTGTTAAGTCCTAAAAAGGTGCATCTCTTTGAAGAGCATGTGAGAGACTGTTGAAGTGTTGACAGGTCTCGCGCTCACAGTAGCTACAAAATGGGTAAACGAGAGAAGATTTTCCATTACTTAATTGACCGCGGAGGTTTGGTTGGGCAGATTGAAAGAGCATGATAATAATAGTATTGTATAGTGTCACTAAATATACTTGGGCAGCCGTTAATATACCTGGGCGGCCCACCCAAGTAAAGTCTATATGTGGGAAGCACTGAATTTAAAAGATAGATTTGTAAGGGATGTACTTACATATGCTGAGCACTGTGTGCGCTGCTTTCAAAAATACTGAAAGTGCAGGTCAAAGTGCCATAAAACAAAACACAAAGTCTATTGACTTAGAATTGTTCCTTTAAAAGGTGACATTTTTAATGAATGAGGAGCTCATGATCATTCAGACATGCATTTGCATATTCATTCTGAAATCTGCTATCTATTTTAAATTTCATTTACATGAAACCATAATAAAAAACTGTATTTTCACTATCGTGACGGCGTTATGGCTCACAACATGATTGCCGCTGGTAGGAGCCTCAGCTGGACCAGTTGGCATTTCTGTGTGAAGTCTGCATGTTCACCCTGTGTTCACGTGGGTTTCCTCCAGATGCTCTGGCTTCCCCCACAGTAAAGGAATGTGCTATAGGTCGATTGTGTAAGCTAAATTGTCTGTAGTGTCCATGTGTGAATGGGAGTGTATGCAGGGTTTCTGCAGGTTTCATCACATTAAATTTAAGGCTTTTTTAAGACATTATGAATGAAATTTCAGACTTTCACAGGGAAAATGCTAATATTTTTTTTTATTAAACCAGTGGAATTTTTTTAATTGCCCCGTTAAAATTTAAATTCAGTCATTTCTTAGCTACATATTTTAAATAATGTGTAAAAACAAGCAAACTCTAGTTATATTCATATATATATATTTTATTAGCATGACTTTTCCTTAAAAATAATACATGCTATAATAAACAAAATGTATGCACAACACAAATTTATGCATAAATACACAGACAACCTTTAAACAAATGTTACTGTAAGCATAATAATTAAACCATATTGCTAAATAGTTAATAAATGTTATTTTTGTTAAACGTTTTTCTAGATGGATTTGTTTGCTGTACCAATTGGCTATAGCTTTGCATGGACAATTAGTGAAAACCAAGGCCTGTTTAAAGTTTTTAACACCTACAACAGCACATTTCAGTAAATGTAAGACTTGTTAAGGCCTTAAATTTAGTTTTGGACATTAAGGAAATTTTAAGACTTTTAAGACCCCACAGACACCCTGGTGTTTATGTTTCCTAGTGATGGGTTGCAGCTTGGAAGGGCATCCCCTGCATAAAAAAATAAAAATAAAATTTAACATATGCTGGATACGTTGGTGGTTCATTCCGCTGTGGCCACCCCAGATTAATAAAGAGACTAAGCTGAAAAGAAAACGAATAAATGAATTATTGTCCAGAATTAGCAGTGCTCCCTTAATGATGTTCTTTTTATCATGTGAGCGCTGCATGAGAAAAAAGAAAGCAATCCAAGGAAGGGATTTTGTTATGCAAATGCCATTTGTGTATATTAGCAAACATTTAAACAGAGAGAGTGCCCTTGTCGTGTTTGTCTATCCAGATGGCCAATGATGAAATATGTATGGAGTCAAAAGGACTCACACAGAATGCTGTTTTGGGCTGACTGCTAATAAAAAGAGAGCTGCCTTGATTATTACAGATGCATCTCTTTTAAATAAAATGGAAGGGAAAGAGGCAGACAGCTCCTCAACTTGAGCGAGCGAAAGGGAGAGAGAGAGAGAGCTTGGCTTTTGTTGTTATAATGATACAAAAAGCAGCTTGAAAGCCCTTCCCTCCAACAAAAAAGGACAGATCTGTAGTAATACTGGCTCAGACAAATCTTTTTTTTTTTTTTTTTACTTCACAACAGCTTTAAAACATCATTACATATTTATAACTGCCAGCTAGATGACAGAGACAGAGCACAATGTTCAGCATTTAACAATGAGGCTTTGCCAGTGTTCCTCTGTGAAATCTCTGATTGCACTGTCTAAACCCTCCTTTCATCAAGTCTGGCAACAGAGTGAAACAATTACTCAGAAGATGTGGATCCACTTTTGATTTAACAATCCACCCTTTAATTGCTTCATTAAAAGGTCCTCGAAAGTTCTAGCATTAAAACCTGTTGAAGCCGTAGCGCCAGCTTACGTTGAAAAAAGGAGCCCTTCAGCACGCCACAGTGTTTTTTCCCCCATTTCCAGCTCTGACATGTGCCGGAAAGATGAAAGCCCCTGAACAAACTGTGCCTGAAATCCATGAAAGGAACCGCAAATAAGCAGAAGCTGTGCAAATGGCACAGTTTAGACAACAAAACTAACTCTGACTTTCTCTCTGTGTGTGCAGATCAGTCGGAGGGTTTCCACTGCCAAGATGAATGCCGTATCTTGGGCCACTCGGACCGTTGCTGGATGCCCCGGGTACCGATACCGGCGAGAGCTAAGTCTCCGGAACACGGACGCAATGTCATCGCCCTGTCCATTGAGGCCACCACAGTGGACGTACCTCACTATGAGGACTGTGGCACCACCAAAAGGACTTTTGCCACCTTTGGCAAAGACGGGCCGGATGAGGACCGGGCCGAGCAAAGGGGCAGGCGGCAAACAGCGGAGCCAGCCGTCTGCAGCCCCAAGACCAACGGCGCTGTGCGCGAGGCCGGAAACGGCAGAGAGGCCGTCAGCCCCATCACCTCCCCCGTGCACCTGAAAAGCCCCCAATCCAAAGCACCTTCCACCTACAACACACTGAAATGCCGTGACGCAGAGCGCATAGCCAATCACAGCCTGCTGCGGCAGCCGGAGGGGAAGGACAGTGAGCCGGCCATGCGGGAGATCAACACGCTCCTACAGGACGGTCGTGATAAAGAGTCCCCCGGCAGCAAGAGACTGAAGGACATCGTGCTTTAACCAGCTCCACCCGTACACAGAGCGCATACACTGCTACCAGTGTGTGTCGACATGCGTGTGTGTGTATTTGTGTGCTTTAGCGAGCGTCAAGTCCTGGGGAAAGAAGGGAGACGTGTGCAGCACGACGTATTCTCCAGAGGCTGAAAAGGTGTCTGCGAGCTCAGACTGTCATCGTGGCTTGGTAGTAACAGCAGCGCTTGTACGTTCGTCGCAATCGTCTCTCCGCAGTGGACAGGCTGGTTCCCTGCCCTCACATCGTACCCTTACGGGAGAAAGACACCCGAGTACAGTCATGCCTTGTAGACTCGAAAGAGACATCTTACTTTCTTCTAATGCCTTCTTTGGTATGCAGTTTCTGCTTCAGCTGCCAAACCGCTCACTGTTCCTGTAGAGGACGTGGGTCTCTGCGATGCTACAGATTAGCAAGACTCCTCTTGTCCGAGCGCACAGGAACGCTCCCGCAGATCTCATTTCATTTCGGTGGCTTCTCGCTGGTCTGATAAGACAACCCTTCTCTGTTTCCCTCAAGACATTCCAGTGTCAGCAAACCATGAGGTCGTTACAGTGCTTATTTTTTATCACAGATGGAGCTAAATGAAGGTGCGCTATCAGCTCAAGCTCACCGAAAAACTGGAATAGGGAGAGATCGATCCCCCAGACTCACAACCAGATATAAATATATATATATACGGATGATGAAAAGAAGAAGATGATGAAAAAAAAAACAAAAGAAAAACAAGACTTGTTGCTTTTGAAATCTCCTGTGCCCTTTCCTGATTGTAGCCAGTGGAGCGCAGTTTACTAGAACTTCGTGCTCTGGTCTTGTACTTTTTTGGATTTTGACTATGGGGCTAGGATAGAAGGGGTCGTCACTTACGTCTTGCTATGTGAAACTCTGTTTAGGGTTTACTACTATCATTTTTAATAATCTGTTGTTATGTGACAATCCCTTTAATGTTTTGTTGCTAAAGTAAAAACTGAAAAAAATAAACATTGGTGTTCAACTAAAGCTACAGTAGCGTTTGTACACAAACACAAAAAGGAAAAAAAAACATATATGCCAAAATATATTTTATAAATAATTTAAAATGTATAATGAGAATATTTAATGCTGTGTAGTTATTTTATCAGTAAGTTATACTTGAAATTAACTGGCTTTTTTTTCTTTATTTGTCCCCTTTTTATTGACTCTGTTATTCCTATTTTCAATTTTTTTTCTTCTTCTTCTTTTTTTTTTTTTTTTTTTTTTTTTTTACATTTTCCGATTGATCTTGACTTTTTGTTCACTGTGTTACCCCCAGCAACTGTTGATTGCAGTCTACCTTGTTGTAAAAGAGTTTCTTATTGGTCAGTTCTTGTGCCATCAAGTTTCTGTGTGGGCAAAAAAAAAGAGAAAAGACAAAAAAAAATTACAAAAAACACAACAAAAAAAAAAATCTACACCAACAGTAGTGTGTCAGTACAACGAGCTTAGAGTGAGATAGCAAAAGAAACCAAAAAACTGCAACAAACATTAAACGTTCAAGATTTTCAAGGTTGTTGTTTAATCTTAATACTCAAGTAAGGGTAAGAGTAACACCATTTCAAGTCACCGGAGGTGGTTCCACTCATTTCTGAAGTGTCTGAGAGGCGGATAGAAGCTCCATGTAAAGCAAACCCAGATGCTCTGAGCCAGACTTGCATTGCTATCTATCTATCATCAAGTACAGCCCTCCATTTTTCCAGATCATGTAAGAACGCTATACCAAGCCCAACCAACACAAATGTGTTTTTTTTTCTGCAGGAGAAAAAAGCAGATTTGGTGGAACTGCCATAGTGGGAACGGACAGAAAATGCGAAATCAGTTGTTTCTTTGCAATACTCATTTTTATAATGTGGGAAGTGCAAACAGCAGCAACGTGTGAAAAGACATAGAACTAGTAGCTGAATGTTTTTGCTGGTCTCACCAAACAGCTTTTGGCAACATGAAAACGGAATTATCACTGAATGTATACTGCAGCTTATTATTAAACTATTAAATGTTCTCCACTTTGTCTCCTTGTCTAAATTCATCAGTTCTGCATGTTTCCATCACACTCTTTTTTTTTTATTTGCCATCAAATGGCTTATAATGGAAGAGATCCGCTTCCACTGGAGAGGAAGAAAGCCAGGCGGCATTGTTGAAAAGTGATGAGCGCAACCCGAGTTCAGCATACAGCAATTATCCTTTCTTAAGTGATCTTTTGTCTTGCCATAATTCATTAAAATCTATAATGTGATATGAATATCTGCTGTTAATTTTCCTTGAAAGTAATATGCTAATGTGTGTGGCGACGGCGGCTGTAGCGATGAGAATCGTAGGGAAATTAGTTTTCGCTGCGGTCCAATCTAAAGGCCTCGGTGTGAAATCATTCTCTGATATCATTTTTAGATACCCCGATTCTGACTAATTGCAAAAATTAAAAACGACAGCAGAAAACACACCTTGTTGCTGCCAAATAAAGCAAGCGTTTGGGAGTCATCCAGCTGAGGAGTGTCAATTTCAAATGGCTGGTCGTTCTAATTTGCTGAAGTGGATGATGCACGCAATAAGCCAAGTACATTATTACTTGGATTCATACCCAGTGCAATATGATGCTACTTAGCTGTCAAAACAACACCTAACAAATGATTTGAGATGACATTGGAAATAGGGGTGCACTATTACAACTTTTTAAAGAGATAGTACAATCTAAGATTACAGGTGGCTTTTTCCTTCAGTAGACCAGTAGTAGATTTTGGTCAAAATCGTCATTTTAATTACCTCTTAGAAAGCATGTCAAAGACTGCGGGCACTTTGAGAGTAAAAAAAAAAACACATATAAACAAAGAACAACATACGAGGCAATTTTTTTTTCTGCTTGTTCAGATTACTTATTTAAAATAAGCTGAAACAACACAATTCTTGAGATTTTTTTTTGGGACAACTTAATTGTTTTATGTTCAATCCATTTAAATTTGTTAACTTAATCGATTTGTGTTAGGATGACTTGAATGAATATTGTGCAACCCAGCATGTTTTTAACAACACAGAACAATAATCCTGACTATATCTTTAAGACTTACAAATAGCTCTGTGCTTTTGTGAGGTAAATTAACAGCAAATACATTTTTTGGGGTTATTTCCCCCTTTAAAAGGGTCATAAACTGAAAAATAAATGTATCTTTATCATTTATCATGTTTATCTTTATCTATAGTAATAGTTTGGACCGCTTTTGCCTTAATCCTTCTTGGCATAGCTTCAACAAGATACTGGAATGTTCCTTAGAGATTTTGGTCCATACTGACATGATAGCATCTCGCAGTTGCTGCAGATTTGTCAGCTGCACATCCATGATGTGAATCTCCCCTTCCATCACATCCCATAGGTTCTCTATTGGATTGAGATCTGTTGACTGTGGAAGCCAGTTGAGTTCAGTGAACTATTACACCACCAACAGCAACCTGAACCGTTGATACAAGACAGGATGGATCCATGTTTTCATGTTGTTGACGCTAAATTCTGATCCTACCATTTAAATGTCACATAGAAATCGAGACTTCTATTGTACAATTTTGGTGAGAATATGTGTGAGTTGTAGCCTTAGTTTCCTGTTCTTAGCTGACAGGAGTGACACACACTGTGGTCTGCTGCTGCTGTAGCCCATTCGCCTCAAGGTTCAATGTGTTGTGCATTCAGAGATGCTCTACTGCACACCTTTTTTTGTAACGAGTGTTTATTTGAACTACTGTTGCCTTTCTATCAGCTCGAACCAGTCTGGCCATTCTCCTCTGACCTCTGCATCAACAAGGCATTTGTGACCACAGGACTGCCGCTCACTGGATATTTCCTCTTTTTGAACCATTCTCTGTAAACCCTGGAGATGGTTGTGTGTGAAAACCCCAGTAGATCAGCAGTTTCTAAAATACTCAGACCAGCCCGCCTGGCACTAACAAATATGCCACGTTAAAAGTCAATAAATCACTTTTCTTCCCCATTCTGATGCTCGGTTTGAACAGCAGCAGATTGTCTTGACCATGTCTACATGCCTAAATGCATTGAGTTGCTGCCATGTGATTGTATGATTAGTAATTAATTTGCATTAATGAGCAGTTGGACAGTGTACCTAATAAAGTGGCCGGTGAGTGTACATATATAGAACTAACTTTTTTTTTTTCTCTCTTTAGTGTTAAAACAGCTTATATTGTAGCCAAAATGACAGGCTCTGGAATGAGCCACTTTTTTACGTAACACTTTGTCCAAATTCCGCACTAGCAAAAGAAGGCCAATGCCTTCTCATACAGTACACTATTCACAATCTACAATCTGCCATGCCTGTTCAACCAGTTTGTTTGGAAACGGCCATAACAGAACAGAAAATATCCCATCAATTCTAAATTTTGATTTATTTTTAATGTCAAATAAATGTATCTCAATAACATAAGTGGACCTGCGAGAACGCCACAAAACCAAAAGGCAGTTCATTTCCCCTTTAAGTAAGACCAAGAACTCTAACTAGCATGGAGCAAACTGCCTATAGTGCCTGTACTGCTCTATATTATGTTAGTGTTCGGAATCAGGGTGACTCATAGGACACTATGCTTTTTACCCCAGGCTTTAAAGTCAAGCATTTAATTCGAAAAGGCTTGTAGGCCTCATCATTAGTATTGCAAACAAACTCGGCGTAATGACCAACAAATGCACTCCAACTACTAAATCTGTTCCAATGGCAGCGCACACTGCTCTGAGCTACAAATGAATTATCAGACATGCCCAAATGAGCCTCGTCACCTCATGTTTAATTACTCCGGATTCCTGTTGGTCAGGGTGAATTCATCCCATTATACAGAGATTTATCTCAAAGGTTACCAGGACACACATCCTATTAACGCCCTATTAATGTTTCAATTATCGTTTTGCCAAACGTTGGAAGGGGGAATCAGAGAACAATTTAAATGATTTATTCCTGACACCGACATGCAACGAAATAAGAGCGGGAGGAGGGGAACATGGGGGGAGGGTGCTACTACCGATACAAAATAGTTTGTACCTTATTCCTTCGAGTAGGCCCCTCAATCAGTTCCAGCCATCTCCATTCTTGAATTGACCTCATTCTATCAAAAGGACCGCAGCTGCTCCAGCAGCAGGGAAAGGGCTCATTGTGACCCACTGTTCATTCAGGCCAACCTCTGGGACCAGTTCTGAATCCCGTGCAGCAATAGCTGGAGGGCAAACTCAAATTTCTGGAGAGTTAATAACAATAATGAAACATAAATATGTGTCTTTAGAATTCATATGTGCAATGCTATTTTTATATGGCTACTTAATGACAGAAAAGCATATTGTATTAGAACTTTTTAATAGACACCCTTCATTGTAGCCAAGAAAACACTTGGATTGTCAATACTGGGCTGGAACCCAGTCACCCTGCTGTGCCCTTTGTGGCAGTGCATTTTGGGAAGGGCAATAAATCTCAGGGCCAGTGTTCTTTCTTTATACTCTTAATTTGGATGCTAATTGTGCAACACATAGAGTTGCAAATAAGGATTGGGCCACAGCGGGTGTGCTAGAAGCACAGTAAAGGACATGTTAAATGGATATTAACCAAATAATACGTGGCAGCATTTACTCATCTCAACTTACTTAGACATTTAAAACCGGAGAAAAATAAATAAATAGACTTTAATAAAACTAATGTCCTTATGGCAAAAATCCACCTAGACAATTAAATTAACTCAACTACATTCATATAAATAGATGAGGTAGAAACATCCGCTTAAGGCAAAAATTCATTCATTTTCCTTAGGCTTAGTCCCTTTATTCATTAGCAGAATGAACCGCCAACTTATCCAGTATATGTTTTATCCAACAGATGCCTTTCCAGCTGCAACCCAGTACTAGGAAACACCAATGCACTCTCACATTCACACACATACACTGCTTCCAATTTAGTTTATTCAATTCACCTATAGCGAATGTCTTTGAACAGTGGGGGAAATCAGAGCACCCGGATGATACCCACATAAACACGGGGAGAACATGCAAACTCCACAAAGAAATGCCAGATGACCCAGCCCGGACTTGAAACAGCGACCTTCTTGCTGTGAGTCGCACTGAGCCACCATGCCCCATAAGGCAGAAATTGCTGATTTGAATAGTTTGTTAGATATTGAAAGCTTTATGAAAGCTTCATGTGCAAAAGAATACACCATTTAAAGAAACTATATGAAAAAAGAAGAACATAAACAGGGCCTTCCCAACATCTTGGTTGTCAATTTACATCAGTGCACAGTGCTCTTGTGAATATGCGCAATATACTGACACTGAGGGGGGAAAAAACGGTGAATAAAGTAATTATTTTGGTTTGCACAAACATATTTTTTTATTTAATTTATTTGTTTACAGGGTCAAATCACATTAATAAACATTACTGTAAAATGTGCCAAAATTAGCCAACAATGGCTATTTTTCATCTGTAGACCCCTTACAGAATGTTAAAAAGTCCTACCTAAAATAAAATACACTACATGCATATATACACAATACATACTTACACACATACATATATACATAAAACAGATAGAATGTCAGGCGTCATGGTGGCGCAGTGGGAAGCACAATCGCCTCACAGCAAGAAGTTCACTGATTTAAGTCCCTGCGGCGTCAGTTGGCATTTCTGTGTGGAGTTTGCATGTTCTGCCCATGTTCGCGTGGGTTTCCGCTGGGTGCTCCGGTTTCCCCCACAAGTTTAAAAATATGCGCTGTAGGTGAATTGAAAAAGCTAAGTTGGCTGTGGTGTATGTGTGTGAATGCAGGAGTGTATGGGTGTTTCCCAGTGTTGGGTTGCAGCTGGAAGGGCATCCTCTGTGTAAAACATATGCTAGATAAGTTGGCGGTTCATTCTGCTGTGGTGACCCCTGAATAATAAAGGGATTAAGCCAAAAAGAATAAATGATTGAGATCAAATGGAGCAGAAGAGGACAAGCAAGCCAAAAACAAAACAAAACAAACAAACAGTACAGGT